TACAATTTGTAACAACCCTCACCCTATCTAGACATCTAGATACACTATTATCTGCTTTTGGCTCCCCCGGACTAGAGACTTCCCAGAGGGTCACCCATTCTAATACTACTCAGGTTAAGTACATTTAACTCTGTGTGACTCTGGAAAGTCTCTGGTCCGGGGAAACCAAAAACGGACAAATATTATATTTGCCTAAGGTGAGGGTTATTACACTAAATGACAGTTGATAAGCAACATAAATGAGTACAAGTGACAACCACAATCTAAGTACAAGGAGGTCAAGAATGCAACATTGAAAAATTCCTTTATAAATGTTTAAATGCTTCACCATAGCCATTGACATTGCACATCAAAAGTAACTTTGGTGGCAACTAGCAAACCGGTCATCTAGTGTGCCACTTTCTTTATTTTAGTGGTGCAGAAAACCAAAAAATAGCACAATAGAATGAAATTTTGTGGCCAGCTCTATTCACATAGAATAAAGGCAATGATAATGAAATGACAAAACGAACTCTTGAACAACATGACATCCTCCTCCTGCTCCTTTCATTCGTGAGAAGTTATGAACACAATTGTGGTAACCTTCACCTAATCCTACACTTCCCCTTCAATTATACCCCTTTTGGCTCATTCTGTCATGAAAGGGATCATATTTTAATCAAAATATAAATTAATGTTGCTTAACTTTGAATTAAGTGATACAAACCAAATAATTGGATCGATGATAAAAACTTGGATCGCAGCAGTGGCACTAATTTGGAAAATAGTTTTCAATCTTGAAATTTGGATTGCTGTACATGACATTGGATTTTCTAGCTATATGGAATTTGGGCATTACAAAAATCAATAAATGAATGAAATATATACAATATAGAATCCAAACTTTGAATGTGAGGCAGAGATGCAAAGCCACTCTGTATGTGGTTGCTTTTAAGAATATTTTGTGGTCGATGTCTATAAAGTCAAGCTACTGTGAAAAATAATCAAGATAGACCTCTTTTCAGAATAATTTCTTGGTTTTATGCTACATGACTCTATGAAGGGAATAAAGTGATATGTTGCTTTGGGATGGAATTTGGAGATAGGGATTGATCACCACCAAATAATTTTTTTCAATCCTCTACAAGATTCTTGTATCTCCTTTCCATGATTAGATTAACAAATTCAGAAGCAACTTTGACCAAAATTAGCTGAATAACATTTTAAAAACTACCACTGGAGAAAAGTTTAAGTGTAGAAGGGGAAGAATATATATATATTTTAAGTAAATGGAATTTTAGAAGTCAAGATCGGTTTGTCAATTGGAGAAAGTTGATTGTGCGTGCAGGTTTCAATTAACAATGAGTTATGTCAAATTCATGAGCTAATGATTCTAGTTGTATAAGAATTGTAATAAAATGTCTCATACTCTAAAAGTCCCTCCAAATTCAACTTTAATAGCCAATTTCCTGGATATTTTTAATTCAAATACACACAATTATTGTTTATCTAGTAAAAAATTGCTTAAATGACACAATACCAAATGATGACGTGCCATAAATAATGGTGTGATATCCCAAAGTTTGGGAACAAATGCTCCATTATTCGAGAGCCAGATTCGTATACAAAGTTGTAAAAATTACAGAATATTATATTTCGATATGATGGGTAATATAAAATTTTCAATTTGTTCTTTACATAAATAAAAATATCTTAAGTTCGTGTTTAAAATTTTAAGGAAAGGAAAAACGTTATTACTTCAAAGTGAAGAAAAAAATCTAGATTAAATTACTAATTAGTCCTAGTTTTCAACTGCAATGACCAATAAGTTCTATGAAATATTTGTAAAAACAATTAAGTCTTACTTTTTAAAAATAGTTTCAACTAAGCTTAAAACTCCACTAATATTTTTTTCCTGGTTTTGCACTTTATATTAAATAAATTTTCTCTGCTTTTTAAAAATAGTAGAGGAGAGTTTTTTCAAAAGGATGGAAAGAAGTAATCAAAAACAATTTTAATAAATCATAGTATATAATAGGAATGAATGAAAAAAAAAAAAAAAAAAAGAATTCATGCGACCGATCATCAATATGAAATAAATGTAAGAATGAAAAAGACTAAATACCTATAAAACCCTACTAGCAATAAATTTTCTCCAGTTTTGCACTTTATTATTGAATACCTTTATGTCCTTCTTTTGTTAATATTCTAATTGTGTTTTTTTTACCTCTAATTTTATAAATGGCATTAACTTACAAAAATCAAAACACATTGTTTCTCTTACCTAGGGATGTCAATTTATCCCGTGGGGGCGGGTCCCTGCCTTGTTTAAACCGGTTTTGGGGGCCGGTTATGGAATTTGGACAAGGATGGGTTTGAGGAGAAAAAAAGCTGCACAGGTTCGGGGCGGGGGAAGGGTGACCCGCCCCGTTTAGGTTGCTAATTTTATATATATATATATATATATATATAATACTATAATAATGGAACCCTAAATCTTTTGCATTCACTCTTCAGCCATTTTTTCATCCTTTCTAGAAAGATTAGTTTCTACTATGCATCAATTTGGGGTTAACCGTGGAATGATTCAAATTGAAAGTGTATTTGACCAAAAAAAAAAAATTAAAAAACATGGAAAAAATTTATGTGAGAGTTTAAACAGGGTGGGGCGGGGAAACCTAAATAGGGGTGGGGACGAGGTGGAAGGGTACCCCGTTTAATCGGTTTTTGGCGGGGACAGGAAGGGGAAAGTTAAACGGGGGCAAGGGTACCCAAATCTGTCCCTGTTGCCATCCCTACTCTTACCGTAGGTAGTGGGTTCGTAGCATAGTAAAACATACATTAATAATGAGGAATATCACATTTACAAGTTAAGGGATTCAGAGAGTGATTCTGATAGGAGGAGAAAAAATAGACTAACTAGATAAGTTAATGGTGAAGTTAGGAATGTTTGTACCAACGATAGAGAGTAAATAAGTTAAGGATTGTTGTGATTCTATTTTACTTAAGTTATGCTCCTTCAATGCTCTATCATGTCTTTATTTATAGTCTTAAGTTTTCTGGTTAATACCATAAACGTTCGAAGTTTAGCTAGTTTTTACCGGGTACGTATAGTCGTAGGTCATGATTATGCCAAGTTTCTAGAGTGGCAGCGATGCATTAAATGGTTAATGTGAGAATTAAATTCATTCGACTTCTTGACAGCAGCTATGATTATTAACCATTAATGGTCTAATTGTAACATTAATTGTGATAGTAAGGGTTTTTGTGATGGCACGTGTTTCACCACTCCTTTAGTTAGCCCTATCGTTTAAGGCATATGTTGACTTCTCATCCACCATTCTAAAATCCTTTTAACTGTCCCAAGTAGCTTATGGTGATGTTTGAGGAATCCTACCACTGTTTCTTGGATCCGTTGTTTTCAATGCTTTGTAAGGAATTCAAGAATCCCTCTTCAAGGTTTGTTCGCTAAGAGAGCTTTGGCTTTCTTGAGACTCAAGGTTTTGCTTCTTGAGGTCAAAGGTCTTATAAGTACGTCTTATCAAGGTTTCTTTGACTCGAGAATGTTTCAGGGTTAAGGTATCGTGTGTCGAGGTTTTTGGGCCTTAAAAATGGTTGCTCAATACTAAAAGGATATATATTCAAGGTTTTGTTTGACCTGAGGGACTCTCAAGGGCTTAAGGGACTCGATAATTCATTATCCTGAGGTTTTTATGACCTGAGAACGTCTCAGGGTTTTTTGAGGACTCAAGGCTCTGTTCTCTCGAGGTTTTCTATGACCTAAAAAGGTCTCTGGAGGACTCTGAGAATCCATTCTCTCGAGGTTTCTATGACCTGAGAGTGTATCAGGGTTTTTAGAGAAGTGGACGATCCGTCTTCTCAAAATTCCTGTGACTTAAGAATGTCTTGGAGGACTGAGAATTTGTATTCTTCGAGATTTTTTTATTTTGAGGATGCCTCATTTTTTTTATAAAAAAAAAAAAAAAAAAACCCAAAAAAAAGAAGGGTGCCCGCTTGATCACACTCACACCAACAAACTGAATTTTTTAAATGTTTTAAGAATTACTTGAATTTCACTATTCATAAAAATTATTATTTTTTAATTTCATTGAAAGTAAGGGTGGCAAAAGTTGACACAACCCGCTAACATGACTCGAACATGACACGAGTTAAACGGGTTTAGGTTGACCTTAAACGGGTCAACACGATTAACCCGTTTAATTAATCGTGTCGTATTTGGGTTGAGGGGTTCAACCCGTATAACCCGTTTAAACACTTTTAATTATATATGTCGTAAATAAATTTATATTTAAGTTCTAAAATTACTATATAAACTTGTGTCTTATAATTTAATTTTTTGTAAACTATAAATTATTTAGTAATTTGGTTGATTAAAATTTATATTTTTTTAATATTTATTATTTTATTGAGTATTATTAATAATTTAAATTATATATATATATTCGTAAATAAGTCATTAAACGGGTTATATGTAACCCGTTTATAAACAGGTCGAGTTAGTATTAAGAGTTTCTGACACGATTATTAAATGGGTCGTGTTCACAATTACGATCCGCGAACATGAATTATCACCCTTAATTGAAAGCCATATATACGTATTTTGTTTTAAGATCACTTTAACCTTCTATATTTTAATTTAAAATTTTTATTTATGGCCTATTAATATCATTTTGATGATGTAGTCAAATTACTTTTTTAAATAAAAGAAGGATCGTGTGAGTTTCTTATCAAAAATAAAATAAGCAAATTATTGATATCAATTTGGGACATGATGTTGACATCATGTAGGTTATGCTATACAAATTTGGATCGTTTCACGCAAAGGAGAGATTAACGGTAGATAAATATTACTAGTAGATAAAAGACCTCTAATTTACCTTTCTCATCCAAGGAGTCTTTCCATTTCCCCTTTGGTTTCCTGAGGATTCACGGTCAATTTTACTTCCTATGTACAGTACATGATGTACATCAAACCACAAGTCCAATAAATAAAAAGAGAGAGAGAGAATAGAGGGAGAGAGAATAGAGAGAGAGAGAAAAAGAAACCGGGAGAGAGAGAGAGACGTGAGTTCTCTGATCCCGGTTTATAAGCCGACCTTTGATTCTCTGTCCCTCCTCTACCTCCCACCTCTTTCGCCACTTTATAAATTCCTGTCCCTCCCTCTCTCTACCGGCTCTCTCTATACCCGTGGAGCTTCGTTTCCATGGCTTCTCCGTCCCAAGCAAGTCTACTCCTTCAGAAACAACTCAAAGGTATCAATCAATCTTCAACCATCGATTTCGATTCTATGGTTTTTAACTTTGATTTTCAATTGATCTATTGGTGTCTGTATCTGCAGATCTCTGTAAAAACCCAGTTGATGGATTCTCTGCCGGTTTGGTAGATGAAAGTAACCTATTCGAATGGAGCGTAACCATTATCGGACCACCTGATACTTTATAGTGAGTGCTTTGTTCCTTATTTGCTTAAAATTTGATTTTTTTATGTGTTTGGTTTATTTTTAACGGTTATATCTATTGTAATTTGATGTTTGTTTGGTGTTTAATTGAATGATTTCCTTGACAATTTTATGTCATTGTTATGGGATTGAATTTTTTGATTGATTTTGTGAATTGGGTGGTTGTGATTGGTTTCTTTATAATGGTTGGTGGTGGGCTTTGGTTTTTCTTCTCTGAAAAGTTACCTTTTAGGGTTCAACTTTGTTTGTTTGGGTCTAGGGTTTAGTGTAATTTTGGAGTACTGGTCGTCATTCCGTTTGACTGTAGATTCTTTGATGAGGGCGATTATTAAGCATTCTGTTGGTGTGGGTTTCTAGGTGATTCTAGTTTACAAATATTACAAAAAGTTGATTTCTTTTATTCTTAATTTTTCTGGCTTTCATGATTATTCAATCATTGGACTAGAATTCATATTTTCTTTTGTTGAAGAATGTGGCATTTAGTTTTGTAGGCTATCATATGTTCTTTAAATTTGATGTCTTTTGTGCCTAATTGAAGGATAATTTCCTTCTACGGGAGCAGTTAATGCTATTTATGAGCCCTTTTCTTTTAGCTTAGTTTTGTGGTTTTGGTGGTTCCTCCAACCCAATTTTCTGAACATTATTATTAAAGAGATATCATTCAAGATGTGATTGAGGAATAGTTGTCGTTGATTTATTGTTATCTATACTTCTTACTCAATGTGGACAATCAATGTGGTCTGACTTTTCCGTTATAATAAATTTTACCAATTTTTTTGCAGCGACGGGGGCTTTTTCAATGCCATCATGACATTCCCATCCAATTATCCAAACAGCCCTCCAACGGTGAGGTTTACCTCGGACATGTGGCATCCTAATGGTTAGTAGAGTTCATTTGTGTATTTAAGTTTACATTGTACTTATTATCTTTTTTAATGTTGGCTAAATGCTTGAAGGATGATGTGTGGCTTGCAGTTTACTCTGATGGGAAGGTGTGCATTTCAATTCTTCATCCCCCAGGTGAGGATCCGAATGGCTATGAACTTGCAAGTGAGCGTTGGACACCAGTCCATACGGTAATGCTTTGATGCCTTTTACTTGCATTGTCACATGAATTTATCCTTATTATGTAATTATTGTGCCTGTGTTGTTTCAATTTTTCCTTTTCTATTAACTTATTTCTACTTGATTAAGTTTTTTGCAATATAATACGTATAACTTGTGTTTTCATTCCTAGTTATTTCTTTTATGCTCTTGAAACGAGGTCTGGCATAATATTTTTTATACGTGAATGTTAAGTTCGCTCGTGATCTGCGATGAATTGATATTTCTATATATCCTTTTTGAGTACCATATATAGACGTCTGTGTGAACATGTGTCATTATTGGTATGCAATTTAGGAATGGCAACGGGGTCTCCATTTATTACGGACTTGTCCCATGCCCATCCCAAACTCAGGTGGTTTTTAAATTCCAATCCCAGCCCTCCCAGTCCCATCCCGATCCTTTTACCTCTATTCTACAATGCTTCCATACATCTGTAACCAAACTAAGCACAAAAGATTCGGAACAATAGAGAAAGAAGATTTTTAGTCTGCGTAGGGATCCGTGTGTGTGTGTGTGTGTGTGTGTGTGTGTGTGTAGGTGTATATGCATATATTAGGTATATACAACATAAGCCCTAGATACATATTACATATATAGAGAGAGAGAATCTGGATTACCGTCTCTAGACCTGAAACATCACAAAGATGAGACATTGTCGGAGAGTGGAGTGCTCCCTGTCACAACTTAGAGGGGGGAGAGAGAGAGATTTGCCAGAGATTGAGTGTTCAAGTGTTAAAGGCTTAATTGCATATAGAAGAAGAGAGGGTTTAGCAGTCGAGCCGCTGTTGTAAGAAAAAAAGGACCCTAAAATAGACAAGAATGTGTAGAAGGGTAGACGAGCGGAGGGTGGGGTGGGTGTCCCCAAAAAATTTCTCAAAACACTATTAATGCTACTAATTAATGGCTATTAATGGTGATTTTTTATAGAAAAATTAAAGTTGCCCCCCTCGATTTTAAAAATTAAAAAAAAATCCTTTTTATGGTTACCTATTTATAGTTATTAAAGGTGGTTCACCATCGTTTACCCATACCCACTTATATTCTATTTGAAAGTGTCCCTTACCTGTCCCATTAGGAGTGGAACTTGGCAGGCCGGACCAGATTGCCATCTCTAGTAATTTTTTTTTTTTTTTACCTATTTTTGTATTTTAACACCTGGCCTTGGAAGCTGTAATTGTTTGGATGCACTTTTACTGATTTACATGTGCTTCATAAATAATAAATGATGGCCTAAAGAAATAGAAGTTGGGAACTTTTTTATTATGTTCTGTATGACTTGTCTATCTCGTGACATTAATGATAAACAGTGCAATTTGGACAAGTATGGCTGATTTAGGCCGACAGTAAGGACAGATTATTGAGAATTTTGCTGGACATGAATCATGTGATGATTTTTGTGGGATTCAACCAACCCAGATCGAGGTTCTAGTTTTTAATCCTAGCACAACTCTATTTTAGAAGTGTCTTCTTGAGATAGGTTGGGGTTGGATCTATTTCTCTTTCTAGCATAAACAAAAGTAAGGGGGATCTAAAACGAAATGGTAAAGGACTTGCAAAAAAAAAAACGAAATGGTGAAGGAATTTCTGTGCACCCATCTTGTCCTTACTGATTTTTTTTTCCCCTTTCTACTCTGTACCTGCATAATAAAACATTCAGTTCCTTTCTTTGTGGTTACTTAAATAAAAAACTTCCTATATCGCTTCATCGATTCTGTCAAAAACCTTACAATGGCTTCGGATTATTGGGACTTCTAAAAGGAATTTTGTTAAAAATTTGTAGCCTAATATCAATAAAATAAAATAAAATAAATTGTAGCCTAGAAGGACCACTAATACATCCTGAGGTAGTTTAGTATTTTAAAATTGGATGGATTGTTGTGTTTTATCATACGCCCAACCCTGCTGGTAAATAATTGCATCCAAGTAAGACAAATCTCTCTTTTTCTGGGACTGAGATCCCTGGTTTCGGTGATCAAAGTATCATAGCATAGATGCAAATCCTGAGAGTATATGTTCCAATGTTCTTATTAGTGGTTACCCATAATCTCCAGATTTTAGACTCCCGAGTCCACCGATTTAAATCAAAGTAACCATCAACTAGGACGAGACACCGGTGTACTGGTAGGTGGAGATGCTGCAATAACAGTAGTGTCAGGTGTTGTATCAATCTCTCTCTCTCTCTCTCTCTCTCTCTCTCTGTGTGTGTGAGATAGGTAAGTCCACATGAGGAACTACTGTAGAACTTGACATTTCTTCTAAGACAATTTGGCTTCTGGGTCTATGGTTCTTAACCAATACTTCTTATTCTTCGGATCATAAAACAAGCTACCCTTTGTTCGTTTTGTATAGCCCACAAATAAGCACACAGATATTGGTTCCAAATTTATCCAGTATTTCCTTTTTCGCACATGTAAAGGACTCCCCCAAACCAATTCCTTCTGCTTTCATTGTCTTTCTGTTTTTGAAATTTTTATTTTTTCCTTTAAAGTTGGCAGTTGTTGTTCCTTGTCTTTTATCTTTCTTGTTTTCCTCTTGAAATCGAAAAGGCAACCACATTATGAACGATAAGCAGAGAGTTTGATTAGAAGACGAAGAACTCAAATAATTGGACTAAGGAAAGTGGAAATTAAAAACGGGCATTCCGTTCTTGCAACAAAATACAGCTTTACATGGCAAATCCATACGAGAATTATTTAGCTTGAAAAAATATCATGTTGAGAACGCTTTTGTAATTTGGATGGACGGCCCTTATATAAGGAGTATATTGCTCCCAATATTTATGAGATATAAGAACGCTTTACATGGCAAATTCATTGGTAGGATACTGTCCGCATACACCAAGTGCTGGTTTTTTGGTTTGTTTTTTGTTTTTGTTTTGACAAGGTTAAGTATACAGTTTATTTTTATTACTTTTTACCTTAGTAAGAAACTCACACATCCATGAGATGAAGGAAATCCAAATGTTGGCTTGAGATTTGGTAATAAGAAATTTATACAAGGGAAAAAGAGTAAGAATTTATGGGTCAAAGTTCTTTATATTGTTGTACATTTGGAAATATCTGTTAATTTTTTATTATTAAATAATAAGGGGTGGAAGCATTTTTTAGAAGTGGTCTTAGTTGATGGAGTTTGGCTTTTCAAAATTTCTTGTACTATTGTTGACACCTGTTGGTGCTGAGTACTTGTAATGACGAGATCAAGGGTGTTTAAGAGCTTATTTATATATTTGAAAAGAAAAAAGAAAAAAAAAAAAGTTGAAACTCACTAAAGTATATGTTCAAAATAGGTGTAGTTCTTGTTTTATCAATATGTGCATGAAATGCCAAGTTCCATGTTATTTCCCCTCTTTAAAGATGCATTACCTTGTCTTTATATCATAAACTTTTTGTTGTTTCCTTTCCTTTAACAAGCATTTTATTGCATTTAAACATATACAGTTATTGTTTGGCTGCTTGTTTAGATTATAACGCCATTGACCATTTCACCCACCAATTTTTTTTCTGCTACATCCATCTATATATGTGACATTGATCGAGATGACTTTGATTTGCAGGTTGAGAGTATAGTTTTGAGCATTATATCAATGCTTTCAAGTCCTAATGATGAGTCTCCTGCAAATGTTGAGGCTGCAGTAAGTGTCTAATTTTGTTTTTCAGATTTTGTATTGACAAACATGCTTTCTGTTATTTATTCTATTTTATATTTTATCACCATGTGGGTTTTTTTTTTTTTTTTTTGTTAAATCAAATGTGGATAGAAAGGAACCCGCCGAACAAAAAAAATATATATTATCCTTGATAATAATTAGAATTTAACAAGAGAGACTTTTTAAGTTTTCAAAATATGAGTTAATATCCTGCAAGAAGTATCGAACATCATAATATGGAATTACACAAGGCAAAAGATGTCATTAGGAAGTGCAGAATTGCAGTAAGCACTGATAGTCTAGAATCTGTTTTGATTGCCATGAAGCACGCAAACATTTTGGCATTTAGATGAAGATCATTACAGATTAGAGCATATTTGGGATAGATGCTAACTGAAAGCAACTTTGAACCCGTACCACATTTGTGGCTCGTTTCAATTTGGCTGTGTATGTTGTCTCTTGATGCTTTGAGGGCTGCGCTTTGGAGAACCCCAAGGCGATTGCATAATGGCAATGGTTTAACCTCACATTTGGGAGGTTGGGAATTCGAATCCTTTTGGGACCACCCTAGAAAATTTCCTAGAAATTACCTAGTGCACGTGGGACGAGGGACTGCCATGTGCCCGATGGTAAACTGACACCACCATTGTCTTTCCTCTCTCTCTCTCTCTCTATATATATATATGAAAAATGGTCTGAATTGGAGACGTTATAATATATTTGGGTCCAAAATCAGACATCTCAATCATTGTTCATTTTTGAGAATTTTGAGTACTTGCATCCATTTGTCCTCTTATATTTGATCTGTTTAACTTGCAGAAAGAATGGAGAGAGAGAAGGGAAGAATTCAAGAAGAAAGTAAGTCGATGCGTGAGACGGTCACAAGAAATATTGTAAACTGCCGCCCCTTGCTCCAGGGTCGACTCCTACCTAGAAGACTTTTGTAATGGTGTGCTGGCTATCATCGGTCGATATTTGTTGGTTCATGATGAATTTCTATTAAGTTTTAAAATCAATTTATCACCTGCACTTTGGTTTTTTTTTTTTATTTGTTTGATAACTTTATATTTAATACTGAAATATGAAGACTTTTCTTGAACTTTGATTGTTTTTGGTGGATTTGCTATGCTTTATATTTAGTTGTGATCATGTCATTGTTTCCAAGGTTAGGAGCTTGAAACTACAACTTGGCACTCTTTTCAGACTTTTTAAGCACCCAAATCTGCTCAAAAAGAAGAGTTGAGAGGAGTTTCTTATCAAGCAAGAAAAAAAAAATTAATAATAATAAATCAATCCCCCTTTTAGACCTTCCATTAAAGAAAGAAAGTTCGAGAAAGTATTATTTCTTTATAAGTAAATAACATATTAAATTAGATGTTAAATTAATTGAGAATAAATTGGGTGATTCCATGAATCTTCGAACCTAGCTAATAGTTTAAAATTAAAAGATTTCAAGGAATTTATTCTTTAAAGAAAGTGAAGTTGAAATCATGCAATAGTTTCTTTAATTTCTAATGTTTAAAAATTTATTTAATTAGATTCAATCAATGGTTTTCATTTTCAAAATTTTTGTTTTGTATTTCATTTAAAAAAAAAAAATCAGTCATTTTCAGATACTTTAATTTTTCCAATAAGCTCAAGTTATTAAAAACCCAAAACAAAATAAAATAAAATAAAATAAAAATAAAAATTTGAAAGAAAGAATTAGACACATAATTCTGTTTGGTTTAATAGAAAATGAGACCTTTGACTCCCAAAGAAGCGGGATGGATCCAAGAGACTGTTTGAAGGTTACTTTGGAGAATGGAGTCATGACTCATTGGTCAAACTCACTGGTTCATTATAGAGCTATTGGAGCATGCTAAAATTGATGATATTATGTTTGGCGGTATTAAATCAGCATTTTAGATTTAGGATTGAAAAAATTTAGTATATAAACTTTCTCCAATTCTAAATCCAAAACACCGACTCAATGCTTCTGAACATAACACGATTGAATTTGAAAAATATTGGTTTAGGAAAGAAAATATTTTTTTGATCAAAGGAATTTTAAAGAAAAAGGCCAGAAGCTAACTTTTGACCTAGTAAAGATGATATTGTGTGGAATTTTCTTATTACGGGTATTTATATAATTTTCTTCTTGGAGTTAATTCTCCTTCGGGCAAAATAGGGTAAGTTGTAACAATTACTAGTGAAAAAACAAAAAAAAAAGAGGAGAGAAACGTGCAACACTTAAAATTAAAGGGGAGTTTAGTGCACTAAGGCCAAAAAAAACAAAAACAAAATAATAATAACCAGGTTACGTTTAGTAACAGAAAACATTTTCTATTGTCAACTCTTAAAAAAGAGAGAACAAGAACAAAAATTATTTTTAATAATATATTTTTGTTTTTCCAGTAAAGTTGTTGAGGTCTTTTAACATATTATTCTAACATAAACTTCACAACCAAATGAAAATATTTACTCCACTAAACCTACGACTACTACTAAATTAGGTTTAAATGGATTTTTCTTAATATTATTGAATCTAAAAGTTGTCAATTGAGGGTTCAGTGGTTCAAGGTTTGTGAACTTTTAAAGCTGTGATCAAAGGGTCAATTGGCCCAGCGATATCACTCCTTCCTCACTTAAAGAGGAGGTCAGGATTCGAACCTCGGTGGAGGTAGGGTGTGTGAGTAATTGCTTTAACTTCCCAAAAAAAAAAAAAAACTTTTAAAGCTGTATAATTCCACATTCAGATGTAGTTGTGAGAAGGTTGTTTTTTCTTTTTCTTTTTCTTTCTTTCTTATTATTATTATTATTGGTTTAAAATTGTGGATATTTTTTGTTATTTGCAGTTTTACATTAACTTGTCGGATGATTTGTTTAATGTATTTCCAAATATTATACCGAATTTTTAATCTATGTTAGTGAAGGCATATTGTGTTGTATAAGAATAAGATAAGATGTTTCACACTAGCAAGCCCGCAACAGAAACAAAGCCCAAACCAAAACATCCAAGCCCTACAAAGGCATTCCCAGTCCAAGACAAACCAAGCCCATAAAGCCCAACCCAGATGCAAAAAGAGATTTGGAGCCCTAGACTACTATGAATCTGATTAAAAGTCTTTACACTTGATCTAAATCCCAATTCTAGTGGCTGACAGACTCACAACCTTCCCCCAAAAAAGGGCCTTTGGCATCTTTGGAGAATTTTGGGTAGTTACATATATCCATTTATCTTCTTTTATATACAAACAATGTTTAAATAATATTTTAGTTTCATGATCCTGATTATATGTTTTTTTCTATGAAAATAATATTTTTTATATTCAACTCTTCTAGTTATAGAGTAGCTTAACATTCAATAACAACGTAAAAATCGATATATCAAGAAAATTGCACTTAGATGATCACTAGGATACTTTTTGGATAGGACGTTTGGCGTGACACCGAATCTTTGATACTGAGTGTTTGTTGGGTTGATATTGGTATTGCCAGTAATTGTTGTTGAGAAACCTCTTTTCTGATTGTGATTTGATGCGATGACTATGATGGTAAAGGGATTTCTTTTGAATAATTTAGGTATAGCTTTCATAACATTTTTATAAAAAAATGTTCTGTATAGCTTTTTAAGCTAAATTTAGTATTTCCTTAGGTTAAAAATATAAAAATAAAATAAAATAATTAAAAAAAAAAGGCACTCGACATTATAAAAGATAAATAATGTGGTGAACAAATCAGCAAAAAGAAACCACTTTCATATCCTCACATACAATTCAACCAAAACTTTCTAGGTACTCAGTTAAAACCGGAGAAAGTTACCCTTCACATCCTATTTTTGTTGATAGATTGACACCTAATTTGAGCTTTAATTTTGACTCAAAAGAAAATTGTAGAAATAACAATTTCAAAATGCTCATCTATATAATTTTTGCACTTGCCAAAAATAAAAAATAAAAGATCCAAAATGCTATCCATACAATACTGAAATAGTTTTATGCATATGTTATGTGTATATGTTAGACCAATATCTAACAATAACAATGATATAATTTTAGAAGTCTCAGATATAGATATATGTCTTCTGTAATTAATTGTTTCATCGAGTATGTAGTTCACATCGCTTACCGTTGGGGTGGCTCGCCTGCACTTGTGTGTGTGTGTGTGTGTGTGTGTCTATATATATCTATATGTATATATATATAATTCTAAATAGTTTTCATAAAAACTTCATTTTATAAAAATATTTGACAAAAAAAGAACATGCATTTTTATTAAATGTGAGGGGAAATTAGTCTAATTTTCTCTCTTGAATTGGTATAATAAATATTGCTCTCATGTATTGATATCTCTTATGTTGCATTTGGTGAATAGGAATGGAATGCTCATTCCAACCATTCATTTGCTTGGTATGCAATTTAAAGTGGAAATGGCCATTCCATTGGAATGAAAATCCATTCCAAAACTAAACCTATGTAATGGTTATTCCTTTCCCATATAATTTTTTTTAAAAAAATAAATTTTTCAAAAAACCCTGTCCAAGTCCAAAAATTATCACTTCCTTCCACCACAACCACCTCCACCTTTCACCACCACCACCGCCTTCCACCACTACCACCACCACCGACTTTCACCATCGCCCACCGCTTTCCACCACCACCTCGAACCGCCACCGCCTTTCAACACCGCTACCGCTACCGCCACCACCACTACCTTTCACCATCGCAACCACTTTCCACCAGCACCGCTACCGCTTTCCACCGCCACCACCTCCCACCACCACTGCCGCCGCCATCGCCTTTGTCTTTCACTACCTTCCACCACCATCGTCGCCATCGTCTTTCACTACTGCCACTACCACCGCCGCCATCGTCTTTCACCACCTTCCACCACCACCACTGTCATCGCCATCGCCATCACCTTTCACCACTGCTGCCGCTGCCGCCATCGTCTTTCACCACCACTGCCATTGCCTTTCTTCACCATTACCACCTTCCACCACCACTGCCTTTCACCACCACCACGTTTTCCATCACCACCACCAGCACCACCTTTCACCACCACCGCCGCCATCGCTTTCCTGCACCACCACCGTTACTACCACCGCCTTCTACCATTACCGCTGCCGCCACCACCACTGCCTTCCACCACCGCCACCACTTCCACCGCTTCCACCTTTCACCACCACCATTGTCACCACCTTCCACCATCACCGCACCACCTTCCACCACCACCATAGTCACTTCCATTGGCTTCCACCACCACTACCTACGCCACTATTACCTTCCATTGCCGCCACCGCCTTCCACCATTGCCACCGCTGCCTCCTTCTAACACCACCACCTACACCACTACTACTTTCCTCCACCACCACTCCACTACCACCATTTATTTTTAAAAAATTATTAGAGAATATCATTTTATTAATTTAATTTATTTGTTACTAAGACGGATATTTTAGAGAATTCAATTTAAAATTTATTTCATTCTAAATTTTAAATTGGTCCAACCAAACATTAGAATGATTATTATCATTCTATTTCTACACATTTCATATTTACAACCAAACAATATAATGCGAATAACCATTCCAATCCATTTCCATTCTCACTTATATTTCATTCTATTCCTGCACACCAAATATAGCATTGGAGTAAAAAACCCAGGATCAACAAAACCTCTATTTGTTCTTGAATCCAAAACCCTATGACCCAATCTCAGGCAAACTTAAATTTCAATGTACAACCCTTAAGCCCAAAATCTTGAACCACAGTCTCAGGTCCAAACATCATTAGCCTGTCTCTCATCCTTGTATTACCTCTGTCCCATTTTAAATGTTGGCTTCGTTGTGAGTTATGATTCCAGAAGCCGACATGTAAAATGAGACGGGAGTACTTCATTTCATCCTCTTTATTGTACACGTGTGAGTCATAGTTGTTAAAGGCGCCGGAGGCGCAAGACGCCTCCAGGCGCCAAGTTGTCACCTTGAATGGCTTAAGGCGTTGCAGTTGAACAAGGCGAGCGCCTTTCTATGGCAGGCGCAAGGAAACTTACCATTTTTGTTTATTATTTGTTTATTGATATCCATAGTTGTTTATTATTTGTTTATTGTTACTT